CATAACGTTGAAAATGCTGATAATCCCTGCAGTGTCGTATATGGCTTAAGCAGGTGGAAATGAACGACGCGAGGCTTGCTGTTGAACGCAAACTGGATTCTGTAAATAACATCAGAGATCATAGTAAATACTATTGTTCTTTTTCTGTGTGTGCCTGGCATCGTTCAAGCTGAACCTAGCCTAAACTAGTGGGCTAGCACTTTCAAACCGGCGTTAGACCTGATTAATACAAACAACAAAACGCACACACTTTAAGCGCAATAACCTTCAACGCGACGTTAAACCATTTCACCACAACCCTGAACTTCGTAATATTATGAAGTAACGGTAAAATCGGGTTTCTTCTAACAGTACGTTGAAGTTTACGTAAAATATTCTCGAATTCCAAATTGATGCTACTTTATATATGGTAAAGGTGTGTGTGTGTGCGTGTGCGTGTGCGTGTGCGTGTGCGTGTGCGTGTTTGTGTGTGTGTGTGTGCTACATGAGTGAAAAAAGACTTCATTGTTACGTATGGACTGTAATAATTATGATATCTGTCCATTAAAGCCTTTAAAATTGAAATTGCTTAGAGGTATCATATAGGTATCACTTTTATGCAGCATAAAAGTGAACACAGAGACGGTGCAGAACACGCAGGGAAAGCAATATTTTACGTTCGCTTCATCGTGCACCTTTCATCATTCCTCACACCATAACAGCGATCGCGATCTGTTTCTTACTGCCCCACATTATGCTCTCTGACCAGGCTTCCGGTGGAGGTTCATGGGACTCAACATTTGAACATGAATAATACAATGTCCTGCCGGCAATGCCACTGGAAAAGAGTCTCCAATAAACATATAAAATCACACGATTTTAATACCATATACCTGCGGTTTCTGTCAATGATACATGTTTGTGATCCGAAAAAAGTTTTTTTCATGATAACAATTTCAAAGTTATCTATATATCTCTCAAACGATAAAGTCAGGCATCATTAAAATTGAACATTACAGAAGTATCTGCTTGTATGAGAAACGTTTAAGTTTAGCGATTACAATATTGATGATGAGAGTTTGCGTGGTATTCCAGACTGACGATGGATAATGGCAGTCCAGGTTCTTGACGTCAGCTTGATAATAAAACGATAAAACATGATAAAATGTTTGTCCTTTTAATTGCATATTCCTATTCAATGCATCCATTTTATTGACAACTGAATTATGTAATTAACAAATTTCAAGTTGTACAATCCATGGTACAACTGCGAGTATAAGGGTTTATTTTTGAGAGTTGTTAACGTTTAATACAAACCTGACGGTCTTAGGTATAAAGGGACCACTTCCACCATTACGCATGTGCGCGTGGTTTGAGCAATGTTATACTTTTTTTCGATTTAGCAAGGTTATACCTTTACTAATAACAATATTTATACTGATGAGCACAAGGTAACTTCGTCATAATTTTTGTTTCATGGTAAAAAGAAAACACAACAATGTCAGTTATACAAATTTCTTAAATTCTAATCATATATGTTTTACTTTACTCAAAAACACAAGGACGAAATACAGTCATATGTTAGATATATAGATGTTTTGTACAAATAAATCTATTTTTAAACCTTGACCCATATTGAAACATATGATATTCGAAGCCGTTCACAAAGTTTATTAACCTCACGCTAAAGCATTCCGTGTTACTGATTTTTAAAAGAACAGATAAAGCATGTACCGTATTTCCCCTATTAGACGCCGGGCCTCTATGGGACGGTGGGGTAGCCTCGTGTGGTCAAAGCGTTCGCTCGTCACGCCGAAAGCCCGGGTTAACTCCCAATATCAGTACAATTTGTGAAGCCCATTCCTTGTGTCCGACACTGTGTTATCGCTCGAAATTTGCTAAAAGCAACCCGTGTGTTAGTGCAGTTCACGCGAGAATATCATACACTTGACTCGAGGATGCTTAATGGGTACCAAAAGACGTTAAAATATGAGACTTCTTGTTACCCTGCCTGGTGCTCGGCATAGGGGATAAGGCACAGACTGGTATTCATGTTAAACCCAATTTCACCTCACCTCACCTCACCTCACCTCACCTCACCTCACCTCACCTCACCTCACCTCACCTCACCTCACCTCAAGACAGCCCAGGGTAGATTGATGCCGTGTATTGAGGTCAGGAAGAAAATACACTTCATTTTTTAAAAACAGTGCTTGGCATAATTGGAATTCGTTTACAGTGTATTTCATTCTTATGATCATCCCAATAAAACACAAGAACACTTTACAATGAAAGAGATGGACGAGTTTTGAGTTTCTAAGGAAACACAATATGGTAAATGTGAACATAGAGTGCCTGTGAAAAGATACGGTACATGGGAGATGGGACTATACAATACTGAGGTATCAAATTGATTATTCATTGCAAACTGAAGGCCATGGGCCCATAGTTCAACGTATTTACAAAGTATGCGTGTTTCTTCTAACTAACAATGCACGATGTATGTACAATGCAATATTTGTAATATTTGAGGTTGATATGAGTATGCAAAACAAACTGATATGTGGATAAGATGTAAACTTCTTAAACTACTTGTTTCTTAATTGAAGATTTTTTTACACACAAGCATAAAATGGTACTCATTTTCTGCAACATTAAGGTATAAGATGTATAGATATTGTTAGACTCTTTAAATATACTTTTATAGATCTTTAAATTATAATAACCTGCTCTTAACAACGCTAGCGATACCCGAAGTGTTTTTTATTGTAATAGATATTAGATATTCTTCGAGTATAAATTGTTGTTTGAAGAGAGAATAAGTATATGTGCATTTGCTAATTCTTAGTTTTTCTATCCACACTTTCTGAAAACAATCTTTTACTGAGGTATCAATCATCGCATCGATAGTTCCAGATCTACAAATTGTCTTTTTTTACCGAGAAGAGGAAACTGTCATAGACACCAAAATGAAATTTTTTGCTGTACAGCCAAATAAATACATCTAATTGTTTATAATTCCACTGGCGACAGTAAAAGATGTTATCTGCAAAGTTTCCAATGATTTCCAATGTTTATTTGATATAGGAATAGGTAAAGATAACAGTGCATGCGTGTCATGTGCGAATATATACATGTATATAGTGGGCGTCAAACAAATACACAGCAGAAAATAGATTCACTAGAATCAAGCCGTTTCTCCACATCATGTCGGTGATGCAGGGAAATGTTGTCAGGTAACAGTATATGTAAGATGGATTATAGCTCGAGTCTCGCTAGGGTAAGAGTCGTGAAAGCGGCACGAAATGTATGAGGAACTTCAATGAATTAACCGGGTGAAACTGTGCATGTCAACTATGCACTTGTATTAGTTTCGTCATAAGAATATGTGGAAAGTATTACAGCACTATGCAAGAGCGTGTAACCATGTCAACGAAGTAATTCTCCATCAGAATGTTTAAAAAGTAATCCTAATCATGACCTCTAAAGGACTATAAATTGCAATAGGTACCCGACATATGACAGTCCAATCATATCCAATATACGACGAAATACATATTAGATCTACCAGACAGGATAGTAAATTCGTTGTTTACTAACCTTCTGGCCGCTGTTACTAATTAATTCAGTAGGCTTTTTATACCCCCAAACCTAAAAGGGCGGGATTATATAGTTAAACTAAGGAATTCCGAACGCCCTTCCGTCCGGGGAATTTTTTTGTGCGACCTGTAACTTGAAAAATACTGCATAGATTCTTTTAACACGTGATGAACACTTTCTATACCAATGGGAGAGGTGCAGTGCGAAGTTTGATTTTTTTGTTTTGATATGTGGATTTTCTGAAAAAATATTGCTTTCTTCAAGTTTTGATTTTAAACATATGTTGGAGTCGAAATTGCCTTGTTTCTCAGTGAAATTGTGTACTGAAAAATTATCTCATGTATGCCAGTATTTCTTTCATTGCATAAGGACAACATTTGTTTTATTACTCGACTCGAAACCAGTCGTGTAATTGAATCTGTTCTGTTAAACATTCTGACTTCATTGTGGTAAAATCAGTTTTCCATGCCGAAACTCAACTCCAATGAATAAAACGACTTAAAATATTCTTTACATTTCTGAACTTAAAAAATCGTATGAAATAAGGTTTTTGTTACCGTTCAACAAATCCACGGATGTTATTATTACCTAAATTTCTAACACCGTGGCGATTCCGGTTTTTAAGGCCCCCAGCAACCTATGCTGGTCGTTAGAGGGTTCATGGATGTGGTGGTCTGTCTCTGTCCCTTGGTTGATTGTGTATTCGCGTACCCCAACGGCGTTTATAGTTGCTGGTTCAGAGTCGATTATTTACCGTCATTTAGCTGGGATATTGCTGAGTTCGACATTAAACGTTAAGGAAAAAAACAAATACAAAAATGGATATTTTTATTCCATGAGTATACGAAAATAAGTGACGGATAGTCGGATAGCATTCAATATTCTTATTTGACTGGTTCGCTGTCCTACGCTCCGCTCCGCTCAGCTAGCTGGCTTCTTGCGGCGAGGAGCGCAAGCGCTCTTGGGTAGGCAAATCAGTTTATATTTTTCATCCTTCCAAAGACTTCTCATAGTAGTTTCCTGGGAAATTCACACAAGTTCTTATTACCCTGTTAAGAAACCTCCCTGTTTTTGTTATTTTATTTAGTTTCTAATCACTATAAAAGCATATATAACGCGTGTTTCACAGTTCAGATATTTAACATGGTATAAAGTGCATGAATTTTAATTGTTAGTGATCCTGATAACGCGGCAAGTCATAACGACCTAATAAGGCAATGACGAAGGGAAGATAACTCTAAACACTAATGAACCAATCGGAACTTCCTTTCCCCGTCTGTATCCGAGACAACCCGAGTGTCATTTTACTGAAGAGAGACAAACATTGTTTAGCGTCATAGGCCTTTTGAGTCTCCACTGTGGATGACGTCATATGTCTTATGACGTCATACTTTGGGTCCTGTACTTCCGGACTGTTGTAAATATGGCTGATGTTATCTTGGGAAGATTTGTGAGTACTCAGTATGAATTGTTGTCCCTGACATTGAACTCTTGGCATCAAAACATGTTAACTGTATGTAGCTCTCAAACATCATGCAGGATGATAATCATCTTTTTATTTCATGTCTCTAATCTTCTATGCAAAGATGTGTGCTGCATATTATTACCCTTTTTCCAAACATATTATGCAGTTTTCAGTACATCCTGAGTGACTATATGTTACAATCGCAAATGACTATAAATTGTCTAAGACAGGGCTATATAACTTTTTATTGTAATAAATACAAAATACCAAAAAAATTACCTCATTTTCTTGAGTAAAGTGCACATTTTTTCCCCCAAAAAACACAGCTGTGTAGAAGGTGGTGCATATTATACACACCATAATGAGTTTTGATGTTTTTTCCCCCATGGCAAGCACATAACCTGGGTAAATTATATTGGTTTGGAAAATATTCCATTTGCTTCCTGCTATTTGGACTTCTGTCCCATATACCCTCTCAGCCAGAATAAGTTCTGCATTCATCATCCTACTTCAAACATAGCCATTATTCATTATACAAACCCTGTATAAAACAACAATCTCTCATTGATCAACAATATTCAGAGCTGACATATTCAGATGATTAACACCAGACATAAAAAAAATTTGGTTACAGTTTCAATTCCTGAATATTCATTCAGATTCATAACTGACATATATTAATATAAAAATCAATGTAAAGGGTAATGAAATGTCAAAAAGTCATTCAGTATCAAGAAAATTGAGTAATATTGATCAAGGAGTGGCTTATTTGGAGCCAAAGGATATATTGGATTCTGATTTTTCACATTTGATGAAATTATTTACTCTCTTTGGGTAACTTCAAGGTTATTTTTCTCAAATAAACCCTGACTATTTCATTTTTTGGGCCTCATGTAGACATTTTAAAAGTTTGTAAGTCAATAATTGAATTGGTCTGGCCTAGAACTGCGATGTCAAAGTAAGATACATTAAATTTTCAAAATGATTGTCATGGGAATCTGTACTGTGCCAGCAGCACGTGAGATTCCCCTTTTGGAGCTATACTGTTTGAAATTATGCCATTTTTATGATGAGGTCTTGCTATTGTTGTAGACGGTTCTGAGCCAGGAATTCACTGGCCATTCTGAATGTGCATTTTAACAAGTAAAACTGTCTCAACTATAGATCATTATCCAAAATTATAGAGAAATTATATATCAACCAAAACATTGTTTCAATCGAATACAACCCTCAAATGTGTTGATTCTGGAACATATTCTCATGATTTCTCCATTAGGAAACAAATGAAACTGGAAACATCAAATATATTTACTTGACAACTACTGGCACCTGTTTGACAAAGTCATCAAGGTGCCAGAAATTTGATGTATGGGTGGGTGGAGTAGCCTAGCGGTTAAAGTGTAGCTTGTCACACCGAAGGCCCGGGTTCGATTCCCTACATAGGTACATTGTGTGGGGTACATTTCTGGTGTCCCCCACCATGATATTGATGGAATGTTAGTAAAAGTGGTGTGAAACCACACTACCTCACTTATTCACTTCATATATACTTTTATCACAGTGATTTCCCTATAAAGTAAAGTGTATATATGACCTTCTTGCAGTGAATTGTTAGCAAATTACACACTTTGTTTCATTGAAACAGTAAAATTAAGTGCTTTTTACACTGATTAACATACGATAGACTCTCTTGCTCTTGATTTTGTCCCCATGGGTAGAGTGTGTGAAGCCCTCTTCTTGTGTCCCCTGTTGTGATATTGCTGGAATAGTGCTGAAAACCCTGTAAAACCTCACTCAATCACTCATATTTTTCTACACAAAACATGAATGCTACCTATGTTATCTCCTTGGCATATTGTGCTTTGTGGAAAGTTAAATGTTTTGTAGCATAACCAGACTTCAATACCTACTAATGTTCAATCAGACCCTTGGAGATTGGGGATCCATGTTTGTTGTAAGCAGCGACTAACAGGATCGGGGGGTCAGACTCGTTGGCGAGTTTGATGTATGTCATCGTATCCCAATTGTGTGGATCGGTGCTCATGATGTCAATCACTGGATTGTCTGGTCTAGACTTGATAATTTACAAACAGCCATCATATAGCAGGAATAGTGTTCAGATGTTGTGATAACAACAAACAAAACAAAATAATGTCCAATCAAGCAAACAATATAATTGTTTGAATGATTCAATAACCAAGATGATTTTTCACATAATTGAACATTTTGAAAACAAATATAAACTAATAGGGGTGACTATTGGTCTGGAAATCACTATTGTGATAACTGTTGATATTGAAAGAAACTATTGCGATAACTATTGATATTGCAAGCAACTATTGCGATAAATATCGATAGTTTTCAGTGTTTAATTTTAGATGGATTTTAGAATTGAATTAAACTTTGGAACTGAAGTTTCCTTTGAATGTGATAACCATAACAACAAATAAAAAGTAAAGTTTGAGATATGACTGATTTGTTATTTCTTTACCCTGATAATTTAAGAAAAAGAAACTACCACATTACCATATGTAAATTACTACCACTCTTGATCAAAAGAAAATCAAATTTGAACAGCATTGCATATATTTTATTGATATGGTAAATACAATTGAAACTATCGATATTCCAAACTGAAATCGATACTATTGATCGGAAACTGGTTTAACAATTGATTTATTGACTTTAAGTGTTTACCAATAGCAATATATCGATATTTCGATTTATCGTGAAACTCCAATAAACTAATAAAAATAATTTTTGTTGTATGAATATAATCATTTTGTTGGTTACTTGAAACAAAGACAGGATACTGTAATCTCATAGTAAAGACCATTATTACCATTCAGACACTTTAGAATGAAAAGTCATACATAACTTTAGTCATTCGTCCAGTCGTCTAAGGCGCCACGATTCGCTGTGCAGAGTTGCGTCCCTTGGGCACGCCAGAAACCTATGATTGTGGGTTTGAATCCTGGTTCACCACGATTATGTTTCTAGGCTTGTCAGCACCATACCTGTGCTCGTGGGTTTCACCGAAGTTGTAAACGTCTGAGACCTGCATCACTTCGGGCTTTTCTCCCACATTAAGCAGACACGCCGTGATATAACTGGAATACTGCTAAAAGCGGCGTTAAACCCAACTCACTCACTCACTCACTTAGCCAAACAGCAAGCATTAGTGGTGGGTTGACAAAAAGGTCAGCAAGTGCAAATTCAACATTTCATGTGTTTGAATATTCTGATTGCTCATATTGTTTGATATAAGATATCAATTCTAACTTTCCCTCTCTCTTTATAATGTTGGCAGATCTATAGACATGGCACACAATTGATAAACTGTTTTCAGTTTTAGTGAAAAAATACCATTATTTTCTTTGAAAATTAAGCGTAGATGCAGTTGAAAGCTTGCCTTTATGATAATGTCATTAATTGTTGTGACAACATGATTAAGCCTGATAGCGGCTCCAAGTGGGGTCTGTGTACAAGGGAAAAAGGCAAAATTATCTTTTCACCTAGGTGTGAAATCGCTTTCTGTCAAGAGTCTACTACTTTTGGCCAATTTTATCTGAAGAATCAAGTTGTCGTTTTTGAAATGTTCTATTTTCTGCTCCAGTTGTTAATTTCAGTCCTACACTGTAATCAGCCATGCTTGTGTGTTGAGTGTGATAAGCCAGGGCCTATCATATAAAGGTACATTGCATGTTCATGGCAATCATTTCTGAAATGCGATATTTGATACCCTTGCTGTGAAATATGATACTGTCAGCTGTCTCTGGTTAAATGACTTTATATCATGAATTGTAAAAGAATTGGTCAGTTGTCTGTTCTTTTTTCATATTCTAGTAAAACAATTTAATTCACAATGGAATTATGTATAATAATTGTTTTATGAATAGATCTATGAAGAAATATTTATCATAAAGATGCTGTGTCAATTCTTTATTTACATATATGTTTTGGTAAGTTGTATCGTATATACACCATAGTACATAAGGCATAGGTGAAAGACTGAAAAACCTTAGAAAAACTCAAAAGAAAAATAACAGATTAATATTAGTTTTAACTTACAGAAAATTATAAGGTTAATTTTATTATTTTCATTAAACTATCTCCTGAATTAAATGTTAAAGTGCATCTTTCAATGTTACTTTTAACATGTATGTATGTATGTATGTATGTATGTATGTATGTATGTATGTATGTATGTATGTATGTATGTATGTATGTATGTATGTATGTTGAGGAATTGAAATTGCAGTTCCTAAATATATAAAAATAAAAACAAATAAACACTTCACATAATTTCAAACTCTGAAGAAATTAGAACTTGTGTGTTAAAAAGGTATTTGACATTTATTACAAGTATCAGGAAATTACTTTTATCTGTTGTGTCAGCCTCCGGAATGAAACTCTCATTAGACAAGGTCGGAATTCTAATTCTGGGCAGTCACGAAGTACAGAACTTCAGTACTAGTAAATTGCAATCTTTTTATATTATTCCCATATCATGGATTACCATCTTAGTGGAAAGTTCACATCAATGACATAGGAAAGGCTAAGGAATCAGGGTGATAAATTTCTGTGTTTGTGCGTGCCTAACTGGTTGCACTGAGGGCATTTAGACTGCCTGAAATAAATAGACGAATACTGGTGACATGGAATGATATGTTTGTTGGGGAACATTGTGCCTGCCGGATTCAGTTTCCACGTGAGCATTGTCCAGTTACTTTCCTAAGAATCAATAGTGATAATGAGGGTCATAGGAAGTCAATAAATGCGAGTCGATAGAGCTCGGATTTGAATCTTTTGTCAAAACCACCACCGTTATCAACAACAACACTTTGTATCCTGTTTTCATATTTGTGAAGAGTTAGATAAAAGATTAGATGCAGTTATTAAAGAAAGGCTAGGACTTAGCAGTGCACCCTGTTGTACGCCACGTTCTATGTATGTTATTTACTACAGAGTATGTATACATAGGG